AATACTCACTATAAGAGGACCTATCGCCATGATTCATATATTTTGCTTCTCTATATCGTGTGTGTTGAACTATATGGACCAAGTGGGAGAATGTTGGGATTAATTTTAATACCCATTGGAATTCCCAATTTAATTTCAATACCCATTGGAATTCCCAAATCAATTGAAAATTTGTTTTAATTTTAATAACCATTGGAATTCCTTGGTGTTTTTAAGAGAAATAAATTTCAGAATGTGGTCCATATAGTGTCTAAGTTCAACACATGAATTTAGTAACATTTCATAATGTGCTCACATCTATTGAGCTCTGTGATGGGCAGAGCACTATAAATTAGATGTGATGCTTGTTGTTTTGGTCCCTAAGCTTGCTCCTCTTCATTTTATTTGCACCATCGAGTTGTGAGTGAGAAAAGCTTAGAAGATCTATAACAAAAAAATAGCCATGTCATTTGTGAGTGTCGACTCTATTCGTATAAGTTATGGTTAGAGGTATGTATGATCCTATCTCGCTTCTGCTTATCGATTCAAATATGTTTGTAGATTGAATAAAGTTGTGAGATTTTACAGCCGAAGCATTGGGAACAATGAAATTTTCTTATGTATACCCAGACCCAGAGTGTCGTTCCTTATGTGCCGCTCTTGCTAAGGATTCTGGTCTCAAACTTGATTATATTCTTGCTGGATGTGGAGCTGATGAGTTAATTGACTTAATCATGAGGTTCAAATTATAGTCCAAACCTCAATTTTTCTTTGAATTTACCTAAAAAATTTTCCTTTGCTATATTATTTTGACTAGTAAAGATAATTGTGTGATTCTTACAATCTCCCACAGATGTGTGCTTGATCACAGTGATAGGATTGTTGACTGCCCTCCTACATTTACGATGTATGAGTTCGATGCAGCGGTAAATGGTGTTTTAGTTATTAAGGGTAAATAATTTTTTTCCACATATGTTTTGTAATTTTTTTAAATATGCTAATGTGGACACCTCACCGGAGGATGAACAACACTTCAAATCCTTGTTTCATCCAAGCTATCCATGAGTAGACAAGCAGGGGACATTAAGGTCTTCGATGTGGAGAGGATAAGTAGTTTTTTTGCTCTCCTTAGGTAAGTTTGATAGAGAGATTTGTTTGGATTTAAGGGTTGTAGAGAGATTTTTTTGGATTTAGCTAGTGAGGAGAAAGGAAATTGGATTGGGGGAGAAAAGGAGAGAACAAGAGGAGAGGGAGACATGAAGAGAAAGGGAAGGGTTTGAATATTAGCTAAGGAGGAGGGGTTTTGTTTAGTTAGTATAAAGGAGTGGAAGGGAGTTAATTTTGGAGGGTTCATTTGATTTAGCACCATTAAGCATCAATTTACAAAGTTATTAGTTTAAAACTAGGCTTGATAGAGAAGGGGATACCTTGTTTGCCGAAATGCCCATTTTAAGTCCAATCTCATTACAAAAAAATGCTACAAATCATTGAGTTAATTTTAGAGTCGCGGTGGGTATTGATGTTGATGGTTTGATTGATAAGTTTGGCTTGTATCAAAGTTTTTTGGGTTAAAGAAACTCACTTCCCAATAGGTTTCTGAAGGTATGCTTAGGGTAATGTTTAGGACGAATATGCATAGGTACATAATATTCCTCATTAAATTTTTGAACGCTTCAATGAATATTTCTTACTAATTTGTACTTCTCATTTTAGATTTTATTTTCTAGTGATCTCATATGTAATATTATGCTTAATAATACTCTTGAAGGATGATCAACTCCTGAAAAATGGACATAAAAAGTGCTACAGTAGTCACATGAACTCCACTCACAAAAGTAATTTTTGATTATACAAGGAACTTGAAAGTGCCTCTAGATCCTCAATTTCGAAAAGTGCTTCTAAACATTATGTTTTAGCTTATTACTAAGTTTTGTTGGAGAAACTTGCTTGAAGTGTTTTAAAGGCATGTGAAGGGAAACATTTAGAGTAGATATGCTCAAGTATCTAATCTCTTTCATTGAATTAGCAAATGCTTACTATATGTCTGCCACTAGTTTTTACATTATTTTGCTTAGCAACATGGTAATGTATGTAAGCTCAAAGTTTACACATATACCTGGTAGAATAAGCGACTGAAGCGAAGGTAACAAGATTTATGGCCTTGGGTTTGTTTTGATACCAACTTGAAAAGGAAAATGACCAATGATGCGATCAATAGAGTTTTATGGACAAAGTTTATTATTGGAAGGCCAAGTCCCAAGTGCTTGTCAATGAGGCACTTTAAAAGATTGGCGTTATTTAGGTTTACTAATTTAGTTTGACCATCTATTTAAGGGTGAAAGACGAGAATTTAAGTGATGCACTAAGAATTGTTCATAAGATTTTTCAAAAATGTCCAATGAATCTTTAGTTTTTATCAAAGATTGTAAAAGAAAAAATTGTACTACTTCATGAAACATGAAATATATAACTTGAGAACTATCGGTAGCTTTTTTTTTTCCCTTTTTGGAATTGTGTCATAATTGAGTCATTTGAAACACATATTGGTTGTGTTAGTATTCTAGATTGAATCATGTCCGCAATCAATCTTACAATGATTAAGATGAAATCCACATTCAAGTATTGCCAAGGCTGGTTCAGATTGAGCAGAGAAATATACAAACTTGCATATTTTTTGGTGGCCTTGACTAATTGGAGAACACATTGGTTAATGATACATGCGATATCATGTTTGATTAATGGCCAGCAAAAGTATGCTTTGACAAAATACAACGGTTTTGTGGTGACCCAGATGTCAAGTTTGCTAGCATGGAATTTATAAATTTTATAAATGAACAAATTACTTAATAATGTTTTGAGGAATGTATAAAAGGGACCCCTTGAAGAGATAACCATTACAATGGCAATAATTATAGGGAATGGAATGCTTATCATGTGAAAGCTCATGAAAAATAATCTGAAAGCGGAAAGATGGGTATTCTGCTTGTAATTGCTCAAAACTATGCATTAAAACTGTGATAATAGTCAAGAGGGAATGAAGTTGAGTAAATGCATTAATAGTTTTGTTGTCAATGCCAAAACGATGGTTTGGAACGGAGTATTCTTAGGGAAAGGCTTCCCATTTGATATATTGGTGTTCAACCTTTTTGGGGAATGTGATTTTTTAAGACTTTGTAATTGAATGAAGAATAAGGAGTGTTTCTTGTGATAATGAATTTGACTGATCTCACGTGTACCTCCTATCATAAGTGGATTAGGTTTGCTTAGCTTTATTCAGCTTCTCGATATATCAGGTCATAGTATGGCCCGTCTGAGATTAATATCTCAAATGTTGAGGTCAGAGGCATAGCAATCCTTAAAAATTTGATTAAAGATTTTGAAGCATTGGAGCTTCAGTCATCTTTAGTTCAGTCTATCGAAAAGCTCAATTCTGTGATAATGGCTATCGAGAGGAATTTTTCTTCATATGTCCCATTAAAGAGTCATAGTGGTGTTGAACCCTCTTATGAAATGTATGTAGAAGTGGTGCAGCCATGAATGATGTGTACGTAGGAAAATGATTGATATGTCAATGAGTTGATAGCTTCAAACTTAGTGGGTTAACCAAGGCACAAGAAAATAACTTGGGCTAAAAAAAAAAACTTCTTAAGATTGATTTGGAGCTTGTTTGTGTTTAAGGTGTTTAAGACTAAACATAGCTGTCGAAGGAGTTATTTTTAGTTGTGCAAAAAATGAGGATTTCTTCGAACTTAACTTTCTTATGGAAGGTTGATTATGTGATGCATTGGAAAGACCAAACTATATGAATACTTTCTTATGGAAGGTTGAGTGTGGGGTGCATTGAAAAGATCAAACTATATGATTTCACATTTGAAGTAACTATCCGAGTTTTGAAAGTAATTTTTCACTCATGTAGGATGGATCTAAAATTAGTGGTACCTATTTTACAAGCCAAGTTTGGAGAAGAAAAGGGGATGTGAAAAAAAAATCAAGAATGACTATCAGCATATCGATAATCTATGCTTAATGGTATTCTTGTTAATGGTCATATTATCAGGACAAATACTCTAAGGGGGTTGTAAGAGGTGGTCTGGATAAGGAGTTCTAATTGGTGGCTTGTTAATGACATATTTAGTGGTGCGAGGAGGGTTAATGTGGCCGAGCGGTTGTCATTAGTTGGACTTAGCTATGAAGGCCTTGTAGCTTCAAAATTTTCCAATTTCTTGGGCATATATAATTGAAGGCATCATGCGGATAGACCTTTATGGCCCAACATTAATTTGATAAGTTATTGAAGGCCATGAATGAATTTAGTTGCAGCTTTCTTACTGGTGGTCATTCTTCAAATATTTTGACGTACTTTGTGACCATGAGTGCACGATGTCAAAGGGTGTGGTGTTGGGCTTTCAACTATGTGGTAGATAGGATTGTAATGTTGTTTAAGTTAGTTGTATATTTTATGCCACATGTCAATGCAGTCTTTGCTAGTATTATTGATTTTGTCGACAATTCTTTTCCATAAGCATTGCATGTTACTAGTGAGTTTTAAGGTGGCAAATTGGGCTTTCTTCATTTTAAGAGATTGTGACACAAAAAATGATAAAAACTAAATTCAAAATAGTATATCTCGATGGTCAGTTTAGTGAATGAGATTTGTGAAGTTCGAGATAATAATTTCTTATGGTAGCATTACCACGGGTTATGTCTAGTGGACGAGGGGTTCCAAGTAGTGCATAATTATAGATTTTTAAAATTCCATTACAAATTAGCATGACTAATTCTGCTCAATACCAAAACAAGAATAGTAGGTGGGACTGTTTAATCAAATGAATTAAACAATAAACAAAATTATGAATGAAATTTTGGACGACAAGATCAAATTTATGTTTGCTTAGTTAAGATCAAAATCTAAATGAAATTCTACCAATGGAGAAAATTATGCAAAAATAATTGAAGCAAATGTTGATAAATTGAGCAGAATAAAAAAAATCAATTCAGTCGGGATATTCTAATCAAACTTTTATTGGAATGAGCCTGATACCCTTGAAATGCTGCATATTGCATTAATTAAAAATAAAGATATTACATGTGGACAAAACGATTATAGTAAAACAAAACCCCAAGCACAATTTAGTCCCATCGGTTATAAAAATATCAATTTAGTCCTTAGAACCTTTCAATATTGGTTGAAATAGTCCCTAGCGAGGAATATCCGGGGACCTAATTTAACATTTTTATAAACTTTGGGACTAAAATTACCTCATGTAAATAGTCAGGGTAATGTTTTGACACTTTACTCAAGCAATTAAAAATGCAATGGAAGACCGGTTGCTTTACTCTGATACCAATTGGGGTTGCCTCAATGAAGTATAAAGTGCACTTGATCTCCTTGATTGTTCTAGATTTCCATGAACCGAACAGCGGGGGAAAATGGGTTTTGGATATGGAGGGCAAGAATGCCAGCTAGTTTCCTTGGACTTTGTGGAGCTCAGGTTTGGAGCAGTTGGAGAGTTTTGGTAGGATCTGGCCGGCTGGAAAGATGGGATTGAATGGAAAGAGGAGAAAGCATGGGAGCTGAGGGTTTTGACCGGCTAGCATAAGGGAGAGGGAGGGGAAAGAGGAAGCTTATTATTTTTATTAGGAAGATTTACATACATACCGTTCAATTCGTATGCATTTACATATTTAACACCTAAACTTCAATTTTTGCATACATACGACCTTACATATGAATGAAAGGGTGTGTTTTACTTTTTAAAAGTTAAAATGATGGTATTTTTGGTGTGATATGAAATATTTGGCTGGTATTAATATAAAAATTAAATCTTAGGTTTTAGATATGTAGATACATAGAAATTTTGGTGGGATTTATGTAGATGCCCCTTGGCCCCTTATTATTATTATAGCATGTATATTACTTTGTTGCTCTGTCTAGGCCTACTATTTTATGATACTTTCTTACCATACCTGTTACCTATTATGCTTTGATGCAGTTCCAAGACTCTCAAATTTCAGTTTGGATATCCCCCGTATTATTGAAGTTGTCAAACAGGAAAAACCAAAATGCATTTTCCTGACTTCTCCAAATAATCCGGATGGGAGGTACTTCTGCATCTTTGCATTGAGCTTTTAATATGTTGCCAGTGATTTAAAAATGTAATCTGTTTGAAGTCACGTGACTATTTTTGTGCACAACTACAGCTTGCCTGCAGTTTTTTTTTGGGGAGGGTGTGGACAATTCTTATGCTTTTACATATCTAACATCTAAACATTCAGATTTACATGCATACCGCTCAAATCCTTAACATCACATAAAAAATACCATCATCTCTATTCTTTTGAAAGTGAAATACACCTTGTTATGCATTAGATATATGATACAAAGGTGTTATAAGTGTGAATATCAAAATTTGAGTGTTAGATATGTAAATACATAAAAATTATGTGGTATGTATGCATTTATCTTTTTTTATTTTTTTGAGATAATACTTAACTCTATCTTTTTTTACTCCCAGTATAATTAATGATGAAGATCTTCTAAAGATTCTGAACTTGCCTATTTTGGTTGTACTGGATGAGGCATACATTGAATTCTCTGGTCTTCAATCAAGGATGAATTGGGTAAAGAAGCACGATAACTTGATTTTTCTCCGTACATTTAGCAAAAGAGCAGGTCGGTTAGATGAACTTTGGATTCCTATGCATTATCATGTTGCCCATTCTTTTGTATTTACATTTTTAATACCTAAAGTTTGCTTTTTTAACATTTATAACACCCAAATCTTTTATATCACAGCAAAATTGCCTCTATTTTAACTTTTAAAAAAGTGAAATAAAGCTTTTCCTGCATAGATAAGGTGGCATATATGTACAAATTGAAGGCGTCGGATATGTAAATATATAAGAATTGAGTGGAACGTATGTAAGTCTTCCTGTTCAATTTTTTTTGCGCAAGGAAGTGAGCTTATACAAGAAGGAACTTGCAAATTTAAAATGAGCGGGCAGCGTATGAGGGATTTATATTAGTCTTAACTTTGAAATTCTATGCACGAACACAAGAAAGTAGATAATGAAGAGAACTTGAATTGGGGGTACCATGGATGTAACTTAATTTACATAGTAAATGCTTGAAGACAAAAGCCCGTGCTAAGTCTATAAATAGAATGCTAGTTCAGCTCATGTGGGGAATTAAGTTCTCTTCAAGTCAGCTTTGGAGAAAGTTTAGGATCTCATCTTACAATTCGAGCATCGTTCTCGTTGTTGCTTAGTATTCGTGTTGTCAATTTTATTTTCTCGTGCTACTTGAGCTGCCATTCATGCTTTCACCCGCTACTCGAGCTGCCATTCATGCTTTCACCCGCTACTCGAGCCATTATTCGTGCCGTCGCCTACTTCTAGAGCCACTGTTATTTTATTCATCTGCTCTCAAATGTTATTTTATTCATCTGCTCTCAAATGCTATTCATTATTCTTCTGTTTGGACTCTCTGCTGCACATTTTTGTTAGGGGTATTTACAATTTACATAGCGCGCACAGTTCTTATGTATTTACATATCTCGCGCCTAAACTTTCGTCTTTACACGCATAGCACTCAAATTTTTAATATCACATAAAAAAATAATAGTATTATCACTTTAAGTGAAATGCATATTTTCATGCATTTATGTTAGTATGAAAGTTTAGGTGTGACATGTAAATACAGAATTGTGTGCTGCGTATGTAAATTTTCCTTCTTCTAATGATAAAATTGCCCTTGAAATTGATGTAGGTTTAGCTCGACTTTGTGTTGGTTATGGAGCTTTTCCTCTCAGCATTATTCAATATGTATGGCGGGCGAAGCAACCATACAATGTATCTGTGGCAGCAACAATTTCTGCATGTGCCGCTTTGCAGAATCCTGGTTATCTGGAGGTACCTCTGCTGTGTTACCGTTGCTGAATCTTATTTTATAGGGGCATTTGGATACATACCACTCAATTCTTATGTATTTATACATCTAACGCTTTAATTGTTTACATTTATACCACCCAAATATTTTGTACAATATAAAAAATACCACTATTTAATTTCTAAAAAGTGATTAAATCTTTTTATGCATAGGTAAGGTGGCATACTCTAAAATTTGAAGTTTAGGTGTTAGCTGTGAAAATACATAGGAATTTCGTGGTATGGATGTAAATCTTCCTATTTTATAATGGTATGTTTTAGCTGGAATTTCTTACATAAGGACCCTCTATTTTCCTCAATTTCCTCAGAGAGTAAAGAATTTACTTGTGCAAGAAAGGGAAAGGTTGTTTGCTCTTTTGAAAGAAGTGTCATATCTTAAGCCATTTCCAAGTTTCTCCAACTTTATTCTTTGTGAGGTTACTTCTGGAAAGGATGCTAAGAAGCTGAAGGTGGTACACTTTGTATATTACCTATATAATTTTTCTCTCTTCATTGGCATAATATTTATATTATTTATTTTAATGGAAATACTTTATATTTCTTGATAGCTTGGTGCTCTTTTGATTGTCTATTTTATTTCATTTACTAAGGGCTTCTTTGGAACAATTTTATTTTTGTTTTCTTTTGTATTTATTTTTTCTTTTTTTTTTAAATACACGTTTGTTTAATGTATTTTTAATATATTTTTACTTTTTGTTTCTAAATACAAATAAATATGTTTTTGAAAACAATCAAAATAAATTTAGGTGTTTTGAATATTTTTAAAAATAATCACATCTTAATCAAATATGTCAAACATGTTTTATTTCAAAACAAAAGAAATAGAAAATAAAAAATAAAAGTGGTCCTAAACAATCCCTTAAGATAAAATTTGAAAGCATGAGCCAGTTTTATATATAGAGGAGGGAGCCTGATGCGGGGTTATGGGGGGGGGTAGCATTCATGCTCCCCCTTCCTTTCCTTCTCCTCCTATTCCCTCCTTTTTTCCTAGCATTTGCCAATTCTGAATTTCTATTATTTTTATTAGTCTTTGCCTATTTTGAATTCTTCCTATTATAAACATTGTCAAATTATGAATTCTTATTATTTTTATTTTCTTCCTTATTTTAAAGCATTGCATAAAATAAATCCTAAGCCTCATTATAAATAAGAGGTAGTATGCTTGGAGTTTCTCAGTTCTTGGATGTTAAGTGATTTCTGAATTTAGATTGCCACCGCCGGTGTTTTTCCCTTTCAAGGGTTATATCTGACGGCGAGGAAGTGCTCTGGTTGTCACTCGTTCTAGATGATGATCGTCTCCAAGTGTCCGAGTGGTGCTCTGACTATAGCTTGATCACGACTAGGCATTTATCTTAACATACTTTTGTTTCACTGCTATCATTTCAGAATCCAGTCACCACAACCCCCTCTTCCGCTGTTGTCGGCCACCTTGCAGGTCCTCCCTGCCCCTGGCCAACCTTCTTCGCAGGCCGCCAGCCTTATTGCCCCCTCTGGTTCCTTTCCAGCGTGTTGTCGGTCCTCTCCAACACCTTCAGGCCACCTGTCTAACTCCTCCCAGTAGCCACCAGCCTTTCCGGCCTTTTCCACGTGACCCCCAACACCGTTGTTCCATTCTCGCCCTATCATACCCATCGCAAAGGGTTGTTTCTGTTTTATGTTATTGCCTTTTCCTTAATTTTAGCAGTCCTCATTGTCGTTTGCTATTTACATGTGCCATGTTATTTTTTGTTGAATTGTTATTGTAACATTGTGGTCTCCCGTAATAATAGTTGCATTTTTTAGTCATGGTTTGGGTTTTCCTCCGGTATTATTTGGTATCAAAGCTAGCCAACCCTAATTTCATCCTATGAGTTTCCTATCATCCGCCCCTACCCGAACCAGCACAACAAATTTCTTTTTTCTTTTCCCTTTTCTCAACTTGTCGTTCTTCTCTTTCATTTCTCTTTTCTTTTTTTTTTTCCTCAGACCCCAAACCATCAATCACACCATCAAGAAGAGATATGCCCGAACCTACCCGTGAAGAGATACGGCGAGAGTTTTGTCGCCTCTAACAGAGATTTGTGGAGATTGAAGAGATGACACAAGAAGAAGTTACTTTCAACTGAGGTCTGTAGATTCGAAAGGGAGAGAAAGAAGATGATGTGAATCCCTTCCATAGGGAAAATTTCAGCGATGAAGAAGACGGGCCACGACGTTTCGAAATCCAGTATCAGAGGAGGCTGGAGAGGGATACCTGCATCCTTCCCACATGGAAACTTTTCAAGAAGAGATCTCTTGGAGGACACCGAGACTACGGAATGAAGGTAGATTTGCCTAAGTTTGAGGCGTGCGTGGATCCGGATGAATTTATTGAACGGATATAGGCAGTTGAGTGGATCTTCAAATACAAAGATGTGCCCGAAGAGAGACGGATCAAATTAGTTGCTATCAAATTGAAGAAAAATGTCTCTTTATGGTGGGATAACTTACAGCAACCGAGACCAGGAAATCAAGGTAGATTTGCCCAAGTTTGAGGGGTGCATGGATCCGGATGAATTTATTGAATGGCTATAGGTAGCTGAGTGGATCTTCAAATACAAAGAGGTGCCCGAAGAGAGACAGATTAAATTAGTTGCTATCAAATTAACGAAAAATGCCTCTTTATGGTCGGAGAACTTACAGCAGCAGAGGAGGCAAGAAAGCAAATTACCAAGTGGGATAAGAAGAAAAAAATAATGCAGAAGAAATTTCTTCCCCCTCATTACCATCAGAACAGTCGGCAGTGGGATCCAGGCAAGCACATCATTCTACTTACTTCGGTAGAGCTCGTGGACATAGGAGCCCTTACCAGCAGAGCAGCGGGATTGGTTTTAGTGACAATCGATCATGGTACGCTTGCAAATGCTTTGGGAGACAGTACAGTCGACAGTGAGATCCAGGTGTTTTCAGGATTAAAGTCAAGGAACCAGAAGCTTCAACGAACAAGGTCGAAGCTCCCCCAACCCAGGAGACTGAAGCAGAGCTATGGGGGCCAGTAGGGGTGTAAATGAGGTGTTCAGCTCGTTTATATTTCGAGCTCAAAAATTATGTTCGTGTTCGGCTTGTTTGCTTAACGAGCCGAACAC